TTATGGTGCAGAGGTTTGATAGTAAAGTTTTAGTTAAGTGTTTAAAAAGTCTGTCAAATTTAAAGATGAGATGCATTTTCTTTTACAAAAGGCTTTAAATTTTCTAAACTTTTTCTAGGTTGCTGTTGGCAGTAAGCAACATTTTGATTCTTTGAAAAGTTAGAAGCATTAATATGCCCCTACAAAGTAATTCCTAAAATGAACATACAATGATGAATGAAAAAGTAACTGTTTCTTGAGTACAACTTGTTTTACGAAAAACACAATTTGTAAAATATGTTTTAGAAATATTTCTATAAGTTTTGTTGTCAAAAATTATTTGTGCCTCCTACATAACCTCTCATATATATATGCTTAAAAAACTCAGGGGCGCCTGGATGGCTCAGTCGTTGAGCAGCTGCCTTCAGCTCGGGTCATGGTCCCAGGGTCCAGGGATCGAGTTCCACATCAGGATCCCTGCTCGGCGGGGAGTCTGCTTCTCCCTCTGCCTCTGCTGCTCCCCCTGCTTGTACATGCTCTCTCTCTGTGTCAAATAAATAAATAAAATCTTTAAAAAAAACTCGGAAAATAATACTCTAAACTATTTGAAAACCTTCCAAAGGAAGAGTTTCAGTGGGTTTTGAAACAGTTTGTTAAAAAATGCAAGACCATCTGACTGTTTTATGAGAAAAACTGATTGATAGTAGGAAAAAGGATATAATAAAATACTTATAGACTGGTGAATAGGATGGAAAAACAGGTGTCATGATTCGGCAGTCATAGCCAATCCAAGCTCGGTATGATAATTTGGTAAGCACAACCCAAATGTTCTGTTTGGATCTACACTTACTTGTGAGGTCATATGTGCAGCTGTGACTGCCTATAAAGCCGATTATTAAAATAAACTGAACACTAAAGCAAACTTTTGAATTTCTGTATTTTATAGTATTAAATATTTTAAAAAAGTAATAGAGTTAATTTCATTACTCCCAGTAAATTTCTTAAAATTATTAATGTATTTATGAAAAGTATTTGTTATAACTAACAAGTAAATAAAAATTTAAAGCATTGGGTTTTCTTCCCTATCTTTATCTCATTTGTCTTTACTTTCGTCTTCCCTCATTCTCAAAGGAGACTATTACTTTTATCTGCCTGGTTCCTCGACTTTTATAATACAGAATCAGAGGCCTGTTAGAGAGAACAATACTGGTAGATCAGAAAAAGAGGTAAGGGGAACTCAAAATGAAAGGCTGCCTGGGTTAATATATTGGGGAAAGTTTTTTGGGGCTAGTTGAGAGTACAAGAGAAGCCTGGGGTAGGGATGATATCTTCATCAAGGCTCTTCTCAGAGCCAGCTCCATGCCTGGCACATAATGGGTGCTCAGCAAATATTAGGATGATTGATGCACAATTAACTTGCAGGTTAGAAACAAAACAAAATGAACACTTTAACATTCTCCTTAGTCTAATTGAATTCTAAGCAATTTCATAAAAAGAAAGTCTAAAATTCAATGTTTTGAAAAATGCAGTGCAAAGAACCTAAATAAAAATCTGTCTCTGAGTAGATGTGTGTCAGAATTACCTTGAAAGCATTTAAAAATGCATGACGGCACTCTCTTTTGTTAAATAGAAATTCTACTACGCATTATTTTTGTTGCTCTTTTGGAATAATATGCTACTTTTCTAAATGGGAAAATCAGAAAGATACAACAAAGGAAACATTTCCCCTTGCATAACCTAGTTATCTCTACAATGCATTACTTTGATGTACTGGTGGCCTCTTAACACACAACCAGAGATCACAGAATCAAAAGATTCACAGACCAAATTGGAATGTTTGAGTCCCATGGTTTATTAAATCAATTAAATTTTTTTTATAGATTTGATTTATTTATTTGACAGAGAGAGAGAGATAGAGTGAGAGCACAAGCAGGGGGAGGGACAGAGGGAGAGAGAGAAGCGGGCTCCCCGCTGAGCAAGGAGCCCAATGTGAGATTCGATTCCAGTTGCCCCTATTAAATCAATTTAAAACACTCGTTGAGGGGCACCTGGCCGGTTCAGTTGGTAGAGCATGCGACTCTTGATCTCAGGGTTGTAAGTTCAAGCCTACTTAAAAAAAAATGATTAAAAAAACCCACCACTCATTGAGAAGTAAGAAGAAAGAGATGGGGCAGGTGCAGCGCTTCGGATAGGGTGCAGGTAGGTGGATTCCTGTGTTACACAGCACTCATCTGTCCTGTCTCTCTCTGACACACCCCATTCCCACCGATGGCATCGTCACAAAACCAGAGTGGAGGTTTGGGCAAGGAAGCTCGACAGGAGAGTGACCTGGGCTGATTGTGCCCTTTTCTTTCTCAAAGAGAGGCAGGGAAAGTATGCCTGGCTATTGCTGCAGCTCACCAATTAGCCTGCTGAAAAACTATGGAGTTTATAACATATGGGGCCCAAATGGGATCAGTGTCACCAGTGGATGGCAGAAGAAGAGATGACAGTTGTCAACCTAGAAGTACCATTGTCATCACTTGGTCTGTACATCTTTTTCTATCTCTAAGTAACATTCTTGTTTGTTCCTCATTGTTTCATTTGTTCTACCTTTTAGCATGTCTCACAGGTTATTAATCTATTTGCTATCTATATTTAACACATTTTATGAATTCTGCCTATGTATCACAAGCCATTTACTTACCCTTTATCTAATGTATTCAAGCATACCTCAGAGATGTAAATTTGATTCCAGACCACCGCAATAAAGTGAATATGGCAATAAAGTGAGTCAAATGAACTTCTTGGCTTCCCAGTGTGTATAAAAGTTATGTTTACACTCTACTGTAGTCTATTAAGTGTGAGCATTATGTGTAAAAAATGTACATACCTTAAAAAATACTTCATTACTTAAAAATACCAGCCATCATCTGAACTTCCAGTGAGTTGTGATCCTGAATCACAGATCACCAATAGCAAACACAATAATAATGAAAAGGTTTGAAATGTTGCAAAAATTACCAAAATGTGGCACAGAGACACAGAGTAAGCAAATACTGTTGGAAAAATTGCAGATAGACTTGCTCCATGCATGGTTGCCACAAACCTTCAATTTGTAAAAAAAACACAGTATCTGCAAAAGGCGGTAAAGTGCAGCACAATAAAAGGAGGCGTTCCTGTACTGTTTTGCCTATGTCTCACAAGCTATTATGCTAAATGTGGCTTATGGATTTTATCCATTTGTTGGATTTTTTTGTTTGTTTTTCTTGTTTTCTATGGCAATATTGAATATTCTCAAATAATGCAGAAAACACATATCACACACTCCCTTTTTTATGGGCCCCAAATATCTATGCAGTTGATCTTGAACAACATGAGTTTAAACTGTGCGGATCCACTTGTAAGTGGATTTTTCCTTCTATAAATACAGTACAGTATTGTACATGAATTTTCTCTTTATGATTTTCTTAATAACATTTTCTTTTTTTCTAGCTTACTTTATTGTAGGAACACCATATATAATACATATAACATACAAAAATATGTTAATTGACAGTTTATGTTATTGTAAAGGCTTCAGGTCACCAGCAGTCTAACAGTAGTTAAGTTTTTGGGGAGTCAAAAGTTATAGGTAGATTTTTGACTATGAGTGGTTGGCATCCCTAACTCTTGTTCAAAGGCCAGCTGTACCTTCCTTTATGATTGTGTAATAACTAATGTCTGTCTGAGAAGGTGCAATTAGATAATTTTAAGACTGTACCTTTATTACCTTATTGTCAAGAAAAACTGTTTTAAATAAGATGGTTTAGTTTACTAAAAAGTTTTGGTACACTTTTATTTTAATGGCTGCAAATATGTTGGAATTTGATCATCCTGTGAATTTTATGGGTGAGTCGCTTTCTTGGGTACTACACAGATATGCATGGAGCAGGCCCTGGTTCTCCACTGCCTGGGATTCAAAGTTCTTCTTCCTGGCTCAAGGGAATGTCTTCTGGTGTGGCGTAAGCTTTTCTCTTTCCTTTTTTTAAAATTTTTATTTATTTTATTTTTGAAGATTTTATTTGAGAGCAAGAGAAAGCACGCATATGAGCAGGGGGAGGGGCAGAGAGAGAGGGACAAGCAGACTCCCCGCTGAGCAGGGAGCCCGATGTGGGACTTGATCCCAGGACCCTGAGATGACGACCTGAGCCGAAGGCACCGTTTAACCGACTGAGCCACCCAGGCGCCCAACCTTTCTCTTTCAAACTCCATTCACAGTGACTTAGGCTCTTGGAAGTAAAAGCCAGTAAGACTTATGGACTGTTTCTGCTGTCTAGCTATACACCTTCCTTCTTCAGGTGATGAAGCTCACATCCTGCTATGTGACTGAATATGCAACAAGGGAAAAGAAATATAAATTGATATCTGAAATAATGTTTAGTTGGTGTCCACTGAGGTGAAGTTGTAATCCTCTGGTCTGAAGGGTCTGAGGAGGCTTCTCTCATGTGTCTGATGTCTCGGCAGAGAGGCCTATAAGGCTGGGGCCGTCTACCAGAGAGCCTACATAATAAGACCTCTCCAGCATGATGGTTTCAGGGTACTCAGACTTCTTTATTTCCAGATACATATTTTCTGATATTACTGTAAACTGCCTTTTCTTTTTAATTGTGATTTCTTCTCGAAAGCTGCTGCCTCTTTCGGTCTCTGGCGCCTCAGTGACAGGAGCTGCCACCACGGCTGCCTATCCAGAATGGATGGACGTTCAGAACGAAGAGCTTCTTGAGCAAGAGAAATAAGCCGGCCTCTGCACAGCACCCGGCCCAATAATCTGCAGGCCTGCAACGCCTTCCGCTACAACGGGCTGATTCACCGCAAGACTGTGGGCTTAGAGCTGGCAGCTGAAGGCAAAGGTGTCCTGGTGGTCATAAAGTGGAGATGGGCCAGAAGAATCCTCCATTCCTACCTTTGACCACCATCAACAAGAACGAACGCAGGCAGCACCTGTCACGTGATCTGCAAGATCTGCAGGAACATGTACCGCCCCCATCTGCGCACGCCTGCTATCCGATCTGCGCATGCCTGCTATGCGTCCTGCGCAGCCGGTGACGTCCTGCGTAGTCAGAAGCTGCGGGTTTCCTGAAGAGTTCGCCCGCGATCCGAGAGTCGGCTAATAACCCTTGCTCACCCAAAGCGATAAAATTGTCAGTTTTTCTCGACAACAAAAACAAAATATTTAGAAATGCAGGTAACTCTTACTGTAGGCACCTTGCTAAGTTTTCTCATTATTTTAAATATTTTGCCCGTAGTTTTTCTATAACAATGACTATGGCCTGTACAACTAATAATTTTATTTCTTCCTTTCAGACTTAGGTCTAAGTTCCTTTTCTGTCTTACAGCACTGGCCAGACCAGTGCAATAGTACTCTTGCATAATACTGAAATTTAAAGTAAGTGTATCTAGGGGTGCCTGGATAGCTCATGGGTTAAGTGTCTGACTTTTGATCTCTGCTCACGTCTTGACCTTAGGGTGTTGAGTTCAGGTCTCCCAGTGGGCTCCATGCTAGCCGGAGCCTTCTTAAAAAGAATTAAGTTTATCTAATGTTTTCCACTTAGAATGATTTTTTTTTCTAGATTAAAAAACATTCTTAAGCTTAAGGGAATTCCTTTATATTTCTAAGTTAATATAAATTAAAAAAATGAGCTGCGTTGAGCTTATTAAATGCTTTTCTCCGTACATCTATGGAAATGATCATTTGGTCTTTTAACATCTTTGTTGTATTGAATTACATTTACGAATTTTTCTTTTCACATTTAACCGTGTTTAATTTTCACTCAATTTGGTCGTTTCTTTAATAATTCTTTAATAGGATTTTGGTTCCTAATACCTACTGCTTCCCGCCCCCATCTCTTTATGAGTGAAATAGGCCTATAATTTTCCTTTCTCTGTTTGGTATCATGGTTGAGTTGGGGAGCTTTCTCTCTATCTTAATGTCTGGAAGAATTTGTATAAAAATTGGACTAATCTGTATACTGACAATTTTGCAGACCTATTTTCTTCCCTGTAAAACCTCTGGACCTATTTTTTTCTTGAGGGAAGATTTTTAACTATCTCTTCAATTTATGTAATAGTTATAGGGCTATTTGAGTTTTTTCTTTTTGAACCAGTCTGTAAGATATTTTTTTAGGAATATGTCCATTCAGTAAGTTTGAAAAATTGTTGGCATATATTTATTTGTTCATGGCATTTTCTTACCTTACTTTTTAACGTTCACTTTGTGTGTAGTAACTGTGTTTTAACTTATCATATTGTTAACTTGTGCTTTTTCTCTCCTACTCTTGATCTGTCTTACTAAAGATTATTTTTTAGTTTTTGCTAAAAACTAACCTTTGGCTTTTAAATCTTCTTTATTCTACCCTTATGTTCTATTTAATTTATTTTGACTCCTATTTATTGTCTTTCTTCTGTGTTATTTGGGATTATACTGTTGTTCATTTTATAACTTAAGAAGGATGTTTAATTCATTTTAAAAGAGAGTATAAACTCTACTACAGTATTTGGCCATTATTACTTCATGTATCTTATAATATCGGGTTTTTTCTATTATTTAATTTTTTAATTAAAAACTCTTTTTTGGCAGTGTTTTGCATGGCAGAACTCTGTGTAACAAAGCCTTTGAGTCTTTGAATGCCTAAGATTATTGCCCTCATATGCTGATGGCAGTTCAGTTAAATATAAAATTCTGGGTTCTTGTCCATTAGTACTTTGTAAACACCACTCCATTGTCATCTTACATCCAGTGTTGGTAATGAAAAATCTTATGTCAATCTGATTTTTTTCTTTCTTTTGAAAGCTTTTAGAGTTTTCTCTTGGTTTTTAATATTCTTAAATTACACCAAATGTGTTTAGGGCCGTTTCTGTATCATTTCCCTTTTGCTCTGAGATCTCTCATCTTTCTAAAGATTTTTTTTTTAAAGATTTTATTCATTTGAGAGAGAAAGAGAGAGGGAGAGGGAGTGCATGTGCATGGGGTGGGAGGGGCAGAGGGAGGGAGAGAAGCAGGGAGCCCAATGCTGGGCTCTATCCCAGGACCCTGGGATCATGACCTGAGCTGAAGGCAGATGATTAACCGATGGAGCCACCCAGCCGTCCCTCTGTTGTCTTTTTAAATCTGAGAAATACATCTGTATTTTCTCTTCAAATACTGTTTTTTACCCATTTTTATTTTTTTTCAGGGAATTCCGTTAGTCGGATATTAGCACTCCACTTCTATCCCCCATATCTCATACTTTTTTTTTTTTAATACTTCCTATTTACATGTTCTTGTTTTTTCTTTCTGGGAGATTCCCTCAGTTTGTTCTTCCAATTTGCTAATCCATTCCTCCACTATATCATTCTCTATATCCCAGTGTTTGGGCTCTTTCAGTTATTTTATTTTCATACATAATATTTCTGCTTGCTTTTTTTAAAATTTTTTCATATTGCTAACATCTTTCCTTATTTCTTTTAGTAATTTTAGCAAGATAACTATTTGTCCATTGTTCTAATAGTTCTGTTTCTGATAGATGCCATATTCCAACATGTATTTTTCTTTTGAAATAATTGTGCTCCTCAAATATTTTGTTGATTATTCTTATGAGCTTAGTTTTCCCTGGTAGTATGAGCTTCTTCACCAGTCAGTACTCAGTCCCTGATAGCCCCAAATTGCTCAGTGTGTTGGGGTGGGGTGGGGTCACTGGCCTTTGAGTCTGTCATTCCTAGTTCATAAAGCAATTCTTAGGCTAGAGAGCCGCTCTGCATCACACAGAGAAGAAACATTAGGAGGAAATGCATCTTAAATTGTAACTCACAGCCCTGGGACTTAGAGGGGAAAGGTGCAACTCTTCAAAGTTTCTTAGTTCCTGTCTGTTTTCTTCTAACTTTTCATAAGCTGTTTTAGATTGGGTTCCCCAGGTAAGAGACTGAGATGAAGATTTGTTTGTGGGAATTTATTGGAGTGTGGTCTCAGGAACAACACTTGTAAGGATGTAGGGGAAGCAGGATTGGGTGGGGGTGGGGGGAGTGAACTTTGATGCTGTTGCAGCACGGGTTTAGCTTATCCCACAGGAACTCTGGAGTGAGGAGAGACCTTCAGAATGTCTGACACTGAGGCAAGGGGGATGGAATTTGGTACCATCTTCTCATCCCCATTGACCAGTAATTGAATGCAGGCTATGCCTATTTTCTGGTATGTTTTCATGTTCTGCACTCTTTTCTGGGGTGGTTTCAAGTTTGGTTGTGGTCATTGAGATGGCTTTAGGTTGAGTGGTGATCTCAGGGTGGTTTTGGGTTCAGTGATGGTCTCTTTTTTTTAAGTTTTAGAGAGAGCACGAGTGGGGAGGGGTAGAAGGAGAAGGAGAGAGAGAATCTTAAGTAGGCTCCTTGCTCAGTGTGTAGCCTAATGTGGGGCTCGATCTCACGAACCTGAGATCACGACCTGAACAGAAATCAAGAGGCGGATGCCTAACCAACTGAGCCACCCAAGCACTCCCAGTGATGGTCTCTTGAATGGAGTCATGTTGGTTAATGATTTCTGGAATGGTTTTGGGTTTAGCAGTGGTTTCTGGGGTTGGTGTGGTTTAAGGTTTAGCAGTGTTTCCTAAGGAGGTTCAAATTTAGCACTGGTCATTGGTTGTCTCAGTTTTTTTTTTTTTTTTTTGAGGGGAAAGTTTACGGTGATTTCAGGTTCAGCAGTAATCTCTGGGGTAGTTTTAATTGCTGGGTGGTCTCTGGTGATTTTAGGATGAGCAGTGTTTTTTGGGGTAGTTTCTTTTTAGCTGTGGTCTCGGGTGTTTTTATGTTCAGCAGTGATTCTTGATGGGGTTTCAAGTTTAGCGCTGGTTGTTTGTGTGGTTTCAGGATCAAGGGTGTTATGTGTGGTGGTTTTGAGTTCAGTGGTGATCCCTTGGCTGCTTTCAGGTATAGGAGTTTTCTGGGGGTGGTTTTAAGTTTGGTGATGGTCACTGAGTTTGTTTTGGTGTTTTGAGTTCATCAGTGGTCTTTGGGTTGGTTTTTGTTTCAGTGGCAGTCTCTTGTCTGATTTTGTGTTCAGTAGTGGACTCTGGGTTGGTTTTGGGTTCAGCAGTGGTTTCCAGTATGGTTTCGGAGTTAATAGTGGTGCCTGAAGTGGTTTTAGTTTCAGCCACAGTTTGTGGAGTAGATCTGGGTTCAAAGGTGGTTTTTGTGGTGTTTGTGAATTTGGTGGTGGTCACTGAGGAGGTTGTTTGGGGTGGTTTTGCATTCATCTTTAGTCTCTTGTGTAGCTTGTTCAGCAGCAGTATTTTCTGGGGTGGATTCATTTTCAGAGGTGATTGAAGAAACGTCTAGAGTATGTTCAATAATAATTGGAGTGCTGGTAGATTTATGTAGAATGCTAATAACATCTTGGCTGGGCAGAAAGGAGGCAGCAGGTGTTTTTGAAGGGATTTTTGGAGCAGTTATTTTATGTTGATTGTGAAAGACAAAGTTATCAAGATAAATTATACAACCTGAAAATGGCATTCGATGTGGCTTCTTACAAATTTTTTTAGGTAGATGGTTCTTTTTTGGTTTAATTTTTTTTGTAAAGGTAGCAGTTACTTTCCATTGATGTTTGTGTGATATGTGTGGGAGTCTTTGAAACTGAATAATTCTGCTTTTATGCAAAAGACCATATTTTGAGAAGAATAAAGTGTTTGGGTTTGTTTTCCCACTGAAGACATCCTGTGGGTTTTTTTTTTTTCTTACTCTCACTAGGCTGTAAAAAGAGGAAGGAGACTATTATTCATGAATAAAATAATTATTGAAATTTAGACAAATCAGACATCATTTACATTTGAAGCATATTTTTATTTAGTTACTGAAGTGTATCACACATACATAAAACATAATGTATATATATTTCAATCAATTAAGGTAAATACCTGTGTAACTATAGCACAGATAAAAAAATATATAACATTGCCATCATTCCAGAAGACTCCCTTGGCCCTTTGCAATTTTTATTCTTCCTTTCTCCTCAAAGTTAACCACCATCCTTACTTCTAAAACTTGTGTAGACCTGTTTTCTGAATTTTGTTTGAATGGAATATACAATATAAAGTGATTCATGTATGGCTTCTTTTGTTCAACATTATGTTTATGATATTATCCATGTTGTGTGTAACTGTAATACATTTTTTTGAAGTCACCATAGA